GAATCGAATCGAGCATGCGAGCAACCTGATCGTACGATCGAAAATGATCATGCATTTGAGCTGAATGAACGGAAGCATTTCAGATGGAACTGCTCGATGATCAATCCAGTAACAAAAGAAGTTTTTGGCGATGTGATTCTCCGCGATGGAACTCGTGAGGCCGCTTTCGTTCATGCCATTTCCGCTGCAGGTGTCGCTTACCGAGTCACTAAGTAAGCACTCGATTAATTTTTTGGAAACAAAAAATTTTGCTCTCTCCTTATCCAATATACTCATTGTTGTTCCAAACTGTCAGAAGAACCATTCCGCAACAGTTTTGGATTTCCATTCCCGATTTCAAAGCACATCATCCACTTACCAGATAAGAACCAGCATTTCTAATGTTTGAAATGAAGTGATTGAGTTTCATAGTCACTCATTTCGAGGCGTCTGAATATCGTCTTCTAGTGGCATTGCGATTCAAAATGACGGAAAAATGCTTCAGTTTTTTGTGGAGATAGTTGAAACCCTTACAAGAACCTCATTGCAAACCTTGCCTGTCCAAACCCAGCCGTGTTCTGTTCGAAACCTTACAATTTCAGTTGCATCTGAAATGAAATTGCAGAGATTGCTCGAAAGGCTTGATCGACAAATGTGGTTGTGATCAAAGCGTTCATCGACGACGCGAAGACCATTTCAGTTGGAGTGGCTGCTCGGATAATGTCCGCTATGGAATTGCCGTATCGAAAGAGTTCGTGGATGCCGGTGAGAGGGGTCGCAATCAGAGCAGTCAACGCAAAATTATGAATCTCCATAATAATAACGCCGGCCGACAGGTAATCAGTTAACCATTCAAATGCATCTGCAAACAACAGTTGCATTTGTCATGAAACCAATGCAGTTGCTTGCATGATCTTTGCAGTTGATTATTCGAATTGTAGTTCCTAAAGACGAATGCATCGAAGCTTGAGGCTGAACCGAAACTCAGTCGCTTATGATAACATCATGATAAAATCAGCCGAAACCCAGGATCTAATTCATTATTCAGTTGCAATCAAATAACTTTCATCAATATCGAAGTTTATTTTCATTTTATATCCGGAAACAATGTCGACTATCATCAAACTATAATAAAGATCGTTTTTTGCAGGTTCTTGAAGCAAATATGCGAAAAGAATGTAAATGTCATGGACTGAGCGGTTCGTGTGATATGAAAACTTGTTGGGAGTCTATGCCCTCGTTCAGGTAAACTTTTCAGCAAGCCGCTTCCAAAATTGAATAGATAGCATCATCTGCGACAGGAACAGAGAAGACACATACCTGCTTAAATCAAATCCTTCATTAGATAGCCCAGATTTCAATAGTTCGAACTGATCTCGATCTCAGCCGTGATCTGTTCCATATGATCATAACTGAAGCACGTCTTGTAACGGATTTCATTTCAGAAGCACCAATCAGCTCCATTGAAATTTCAGGGAGGTTGGTAGTATCATAAAGGATAAATTCGATGGCGCCACAGAGGTGGCCATTGTCGAGGAGGACAGTAAACCAACAATGGTGCGGAAAAACGTTCAGTTCAAGCGACACACTAAAGCTGATTTAGTAATGATTTTCACTATCACCAAATGCACTCTGCTTGTCAATTCCTTTGTTACTATTATTTATGGATTATTATCGTTATTTATTCCTATATTCGTGTCATTATTTTCATTATTAAATATGAATTGTTTTTAACATTATTGCGTTTATGGAGTTTCATTTCTGTTCTAAATGTGATGGTTTTGAAAGTGCTCCGTTTACGGATAAATGTATTCAACAACTTTCAGGTCTACTTGCACACATCTCCGGACTACTGCGAGCCTGATTTGAAACGAGGTGTTCTAGGAACTCATGGTCGTCTTTGCAATGTTTCTTCACACGGCATTGATGGATGCGAACTGGTGTGTTTTGCATTCATAATATGATCCCAACCACACAGTGTTAATGAATTTGATCGGTACAGATCAATCAGTGTTTGTAGAATTGGATGACTTGAGAACTTTGTTAGCATTCGAGAAATTTAGACGAGTTGTTCGTGGACTGCCAGCCACATCGTGGGTATCATATGCAGTTGAATGATAATATGCTTAACAAGCGATATTAATAAAGCTTTATAAGTTTACCGAGCAAAACGCTATGCCATCGTAACAAATTGCATTTATTTAATCAGCAAATCAAACTCATTACGAGTTTATGCCTCTCTGTTATTACCAATATCACTAATATCACATTCTTCCTTCCTTGGCATTCTTCTTTCCGCGCAGCTAACGATAATAGCGTTTGGAATCATCTATCTTCATGAAATCCGAACTTGAATTATTGATTTGGCAAGTACAGAGGTTTTGAGCTACTCTCCCATATGCCCATTTATTTCTAGGGAGAGGGACTCAGAAGGAGCCCGAAAATACATTCCGATTGATCGATTGAACACTTGTCCAACGATCGTTCAGAGTAGATGACTAATTGCATGATGAACTAAATTAATTTCAGTTATGTTGTTCGCGAGGTTACGAGACACATAAACGTCGTGTAAAAGATCGATGTAATTGTAAATTTCATTACTGCTGTCGAGTGGATTGTGATATTTGTGAGAAAATTATTGTGGATTATATTTGTAATTGATGATGGACGGATGGACGTCCGCTTGGATATGGTGACTATGACTCCATTTTGCATTTATTTCATCGCAACAATTCCTTGGAAGGAACGATCGTTGCTGCTTTCGATTGCAAATGAGTTT